TCTTGTTAAAGAAATTTTATTAAAAATTAAAGTTATGACTTTAATACATTTTACTATTTTTTTAAATTTATTGTTGTGTTAAAATTCCTAATGAATTTTTTTTATCATGTTTGCACTTTTATTATTTTAAGCATAATGGATTCAAAATAAACGATTTACATTTCAGTTATTTTTATGATTGGCAATTATTAATTTATATATTATTTTAATTGAGCAGAATGCAGTGAATATTTGAATGGAAATAGGTACATCTAAATTAATTTAAGGTGAAATTAGTTATTTTGGTTACTAAGATAGCATTATAAATTAATAATTGAATTAAAAAGAAATATTATTCAAAAACCTATAAATACATTGTACATATTTTAAAGTWAAAAGTTTGGATGAATCATTTTCYTTGCTTTATCTGTAATGAAGATTGTGGATATTAAATTCATGTATTATACTACAAAGAAGCTGTATGAGCTACTTAAATATTATGGCTATTTTATAAAAGGTTTAAAGTATTAATTGGAATTTACAATCGTAAAGTTAATGTACGAGTAGTTTATGAAAGATATGTCATCTTTTAATGTTATAGTGGTATAAGTTTTTCTAGTGCGAATTCAAATTATCAATGTTGGCTGAAATTTATTGGGGCACTGAAGGATGTTGATTTTTATTTACAGGCTTTAACATCGCATAAGTCTGTTATAGATTTATTGATTTTATAAATAATCAATTTTAAGCTTATGGTGTATAATCCCTCACCTTTCCATTCCAATACCTTATTAGATGAAGATAAAATAACACATTTAGATAATAAGATAATAGTTCTTAAAACAAACCCACATACCTGAAGTATGTACTTGGTGAGAACAGCTATTGATATGCTTTCATACATCATTTATGGGTGTTTGTTAGCAGATTTAATGGAATTAATAATTATACAATACTAATATATTGGATGGAAAAAAATATTATTGCGTTTACACAGSTTACATTAACAATYAATAAAAATGTTTTGCCGTCCAGTCCAATAATATGATAATTAGTAATACCTTTGGTACCTTTATTATAACAAAGCACACCAAGTCAAATAGTTGACGTCGCAGGTTTCAAARGAGCCAGATCCTTGTAAATCAAAACTACCTATTWAAATYGAAATGCTTTACCTGGTACTATCCTGGGCCCGTTGGCCGTGACCAGACCAGTGCCGTACGTCACTTGCGACGGAGTGGCATTCGAGGACACGATGCTGATCTGCTCGAGGTCGGCCGACTGGCCGTGGTGCAGCAGGCGCGTGCTGCTAGTGGACGTGGCAGGTTGCGCGTCCGCGGACTCGCGTCGGCCCGCGATGCTCTGCACCAGCCGCATGGTGATAACACCAAGCGGCGGTGGCGACGTTGAAGATCAGCCGGGCTCTGCGCTGGCGGCGGTGGTGGTGGTGGTGGTGCCGGCGAAGATGACGACCACCCCTTAGAAACAACAACCACGACGACGACGACCACGGTAGCGGTGCCCCGGTGTGGATTTTGTGGCAGGACCGTGGTAGCTGCTGCTGCAACAGTGGCGATGGCCGCTCCGACCGCTCGGAACGCATGATGACCGGCGCCCCGGCACGGCGGTATCACCACCGCCAACCATTGTTTGTACCAACGCCGCAGCCGGGCGCGATCATCTCGTCGTGGCACAGATCACGGGGCAACGTCGCGATCACGACCGTTGGGCGCGGACGGGCCGGCGTGAACGCGTCGTCACCGCCGTCGTATATTGTCACCGACACCGCCCGCGCCCGCTCTCGTTCCGTTTCCCGGGTCGTCCGCAGGCTCTTCCGCTGCACCGGACACCGGGACGCTCAACTTCCGGTGGTCGTAGACGCCCTCRGTGCTGCGGACACGTCAACGGACGTTAGTTAACCGAGACTCGAGTTCCGGGAGTACCGTGTGCTGTGGTTCCAACCTGAAAACCAATAGATAAATCGTCAATAAGCGTTACAATGACCGTGAACTGAGTGGTTTCGTCTTAATCGTGGGCGCAACAATATTATTATTATGTGTAAAACCGTTTCAAAGCTGCGAAGTCGTTTGCGTGTCGCGTAAAAAAGTCGAGCTCGGCCCAATTCTAGATCAGTGGTCCTCAACCAGTGAGTCGCGAGACCGAATAGGCAGGCGCGCGCGAGAAATGTCTTATATTTGTAATTACCCTGATAAACATATTGAAAACAGTACTCTATTTCGTTACATTTGTGTTGGGTGTGCCGCGAAAACTTGTGATGTATAATAGTGTGCCGTAAACGAAAAGAGTTTGAGAACCACTGTTYTAGATGTATCCAGGTGAATATTGTTTATTGAACGATACCACGGTTCGTTCCAATCAGAACACGATAAAATATAGCCTTATGACACGACAGACGAAATTGCGGTGACGCTGGCTTAAGTCACATGTCGTCACAATTTCGGATCTATTTTATATTGTAATCATTTGTTGTTCGCGAAACCACGAACATTAAATGGCCAGAATTGACGTCATTGGACAGGTATTTCGGTGGATACCAGCCCGGCTAATAACGCGTTAATGGATAAAGTTGTAATGCTTTTATGAAAATACAATAACCGGATGAGTTATATTTATGATTACGACCGACGGGCTAAAAACAATGTGAAATTAAAACAAACAACTATTAACAACTTTCGACGTGGTGACATTTATTTTTTATACTGCAGCAAATGTTCAATGGTGGTTTTAATTAAACTAATATCCATGCGAAAATATGATAAACTTKTTCTTTACAATAATGTTTTTGCATATCATACAATACTTTAAAAGTGATCTATTCTTTGTATCACATTACAGTGTTATCAATATGTAGGTTAGTACTTTACGAGTATGCCAAATAAAGCGTATAGATTTTTACTTCAGAYACAGTTTACTAATACTTATGAGAAAGGCTACTACGTGACCTTTTTAGTTTTAATCATTCGGTATAATGTCAGTTGATTAACATTRATAAATTTGTATTCTCACTGTGTCATTTGGMAAATTAAACAATAGTAAAAGACATAAGCGTTTGTCATGAGTGTTATCTTACTGACTACTGTAGATATTATACGTAAGACGTCGATAACCGTTGGACCGTTAAATGGCTGATTACGAAATAGATTACATAATTTTATACCAAAATAAAATAGAATATCCATAATAATTTATTGGACAAATAATGAAATACTTAACTGTTTTAACGATTATAATACAAGTAGTATTAATTACTTATTATTACCTAGTATAGGTGTATAGGTATCAAATAGTTATTATTTTTTTGCTATGCTTATTATTAAAAAAATTGCTAACGTAATGATTAACTAAGTGCAGATATGCTCATATTATACTTMATCACAAGATGTGACTTAAGTCCATTTACCATTGTTACATTTGATTGGTTCAACAGATTCTTTCGCATTAAATAAATACAATCGACAAAAATTAACTTCGTATAAAAAATATGAATTCAATTAGGTACTACTAAGAGATTTTATCTTGTAATTAAATTATTTATTCAATAATTATTGTTTCTATTATTGAATCAAATCATTTTTTTTTTTTAAATATAACCTACCTATATTCTGTATTCGTAATTAAACATGACATTTAGGATAACTGAAAGAATAAATAAAATTATTTTAAGACTGTTTTGAAAACATAATTAAGTAGTAAAAATTATTTTTATTAAATAATRTGTTTATATTTAAAAACTAATCTAGTTTATGGTTAAAAATTGAAATAGAGCTACAGTGTAGTTCCCTGTAATATAACTATTATTTACCTCCATTTATTTTGTCTACAGAATATGTAACATAGACATAAATAATTATGTATAGAGTATAAAATATTTTTATATTAACTACGCTTAACCTGTAATACTTAAATGTATAAAATTTGTGGAAAATATTCCACTTTCACTCCGAAGCACGTTATATACTTTTCTAACAAAATRCATTTTGTAATACTTTACATTCCACGAAAACCTTTTATAATAAAAGGATACGTGAACAATTATTTTCCGATCTGTATTTGCTCTTGCTTAAATTAAATTATCCACTCAAAGTTATGTTCAATTGGTTTGAATTCGATCGTCATAACAAAAATACATAACGGTTTTTTGAAAACAATATAGCTGAATTAAAAAACTTGTAGATAGAAATTTTTAAATAACCTGTCTACAGTGATGGGGTTTAAAAATGGAATATCTATGAACTAGACCATTTTAGACTACGTCATCTTGATGACAACTAATATCTCAATTATACCAAGTTAGATATTGAGCATGAAACTACAACAATTTACCATTACTTGAGCTGTTTATCTAGTGCCGTTTCAGACATAATTTTTTTTTTAATTTAATTGAAAGTAATTGATGAGCTTACTATGAATATAAAAGTAAAAGTCCAACCAATGCTTTTTTTATAGATAATACACTAACATTTAATTATACATCTAATTTTTATTTAGTAAAATGGTGGATAGAATTATTTTCTATATATAATATAATAGCAACACTATTACACTGAATATCATTGAAATTAAATTTACCACATCTATTACACTAACCTACTTAATGGCGTGGTGCATTAAAAACCAACTATACAGCTGATCTAATTGAAAATTTTTTTTTGTTTTTTCGGGTTTCAACTTTAATTTGGATACACAATTCAAAGCATGGTTAGCACATAGTTAGTCACACTGTAGTCATAACTATTAATTATTTAATGTAAAATCAAATATAACAATATGTTTTTTTTAAATTGTTATTTTAAAAAACACCTTAAAATAAAAAAAGTAAAAACTGCTCAAARTTTATTTTTAATAATTTGTTAATAATTATGTAACAGACAGATAATAAAAAAATATTTATCGTCAAGACACAAACGCATATACAATGATAAAGTATATAATATATTTATTTGTTAAGTGAATGAAAATATATATTACCACATTAAAAATCAGTTAGATAAAACTTTTATTCATTGTRTTTCTAAATTTTTCTTGTGCTGAATTTCTTTTCGGAAACTGAATAAAATCATCCATGAGTAAAGTAATATAACTGTGAAGTAGATATAAAATAATAAATTGTATTTAAACGTAATATTATAAGACAATAATTAAATATTATTAAAATAAAGATAAAATACACACTTGTATACAAAATTGTTAATAWTACGGATGAAATTAAATTCCATCGATTTTCTGGTGTCATGCTTGTCTCATTAAAAGTACTKATTATTTCATTATTAGCTTTTTTTTGTTCAATTAACAGCTTAACTTTTTCTAATCCTAATCCTTTATAAATATTTGTTTTATTCTTTTCAATTGCAATATGTTTTAATTCATACCACGAATTGTTCATTAGCCATAACGTATCCGGACATCTAGCTCCGATACAAATGTTCCTTTGAATATTAATTGTAATCTGTATATTATCGTTTTAAATTTAATGTAAACATAAAGGCTTTTTACTTGTTTTGTTGAATAAATGACCATATAACTAATACATTCCATATTACAATATAMACTGCCCAAATTACCGTAGCCGTAGAAATTAAACTTTGTAGTTCCTAAACAGATTTTTTTCTATCGTTAAATGGATGAAAACTTCAGAATTTTTAATTTACTTTGTAAGCTCCTTTGAAAGCAATCGACCACGTAATGACCATAATAAAAATAAATACAAACATGATCATCCATGCCACTATAAACAGATAATAATATGTGCAGTTTATTAAAATATAATATTATTGAAGCAAATACGAGTACGTTGTTGGCGGAGATAGTCTCAACAAAAAAATACTCTCATCTGTTGAAATATCATACAATTTAAGGTTATGAATAGTATTATTTCTAAGAATATGCAATTGAATTTTCTAGATAAATATCATTGAATAGTTTTTTTTGTTTGTGTTTTAACGGAAATAAATAAATATTTCATACTTGGGTCTTCTATATCTAGAGACAATACATTAACCAATAAAATACATGCTGCCAAAGTCTGAAAAATATTTTATCAATTTCATGATTGCAGCCGCTGTAAGATATCTTAAAAACTACTTTCTTACGATAAACATTGAACTGAATGAAATGACACCAATTTGAAGTGTTATAATTCCGAAGGTATTTTTGAGAAACCACATTATTTCAACTGAAATATATATACAACTTGAATAAGTTGTTAATAAGTTTTCGCAATCGATATCTAAAGTTATAAATGTACCAAGAGATCTCTTTAATGTTGGTTTTATTTTATGAAAACTCAATGAAAACTAAATTACAAGGCACATGTTATTGACGATTACTATGGATACATTGAGTTACAATTCAACTTTATCAGTAAAATTTGAATGTAGTTTTTGGAAATCTATCTCATCTTCATCACTTGCTAATATAAATTAAATCTTTTGTAATGTTTATAAAAACCATTCATTACATAGACAAATGAATAATGATTAACTGTTTATTTATATAATTCTATTTGATACTCATGGATAATCGAAAATTATGTWAATTTTTGTCAATTAAAATATTGTAATAGTTTTAAATATTAAAATAACAATAAGGACATCATAATAGTTTTATTTTATATATTTTATAAAATTTGTAAAAAAACTGGTATTTAAACGGAAAMATAAACTTAAAAATTGACTCATCCGGAATGGATGAATTCATTCATGAACCGAAGGTACTCATTCAAGCGTAGTAGACAATTATAAAAATGTATTAAAATTTCGTCTGAATGTGACGGTCTCATTATTATAAAATACATTTCCCCACAATCAATAAGGTCTTATAATATAAGACCTTATAATCACTGTAAATATATTTGTATAATCATTAGTGAGTCAATAATGTTCACTTGTTTTTATGTTTTTCATTAAAAAAAATCATATTCAGTTATTTTTAACATACAATTATAGATTGAGGTTTTTTGTACTTTAAAAATTAATTTAGGTGTTCATAATCATGTAAAATCACATTGAAAATGATTTTGACATAAAATTTCAAATTCTCAATGTTGAGAACGTTTTCGCAGATTGAGTTTACGACCACGCCTCACCAAGCCACATATTTACTACTAAATTTATACTTATACTATATTTAAATATTTCACCAATTTTTTGGTTTAATGTATGATTGCCAAATCTGGTAGTTCAATATTTTGATTTTTAGCATGTTGACGTATTTTCACGTTTTGTATTAAATAACTTTATTTTGATAGTTATATTGTTTTTTTAATGTTAAGATTCAACCAATACCAATATAGTATTAACTATAGTAAAGTATACTATCATTTTTGTAATCTTTGTAATTTTTTTAAGGTAGACAAATATAGACCATATTTGGTTACTTGGTAGGTATTAATAATAATAATAATAATATTATAAATTTAAAGACACTGGTGAAACTTGAAATTTAATAAATTATGATTTTTTATTCTATTTAAAAAAATGTTAGTCACATATTTAAGTTATCTTGGGTGCATATGTGCATGATTATTTTTAACAATTTTATAGTAAGTCCAGAATTCCAATAACGTCGTTTAATCCTATAAAGTATAAATATTCTTTCTGTTTGGGCATTTGGATATGATAAATACAATTATTTATCAACAAAAAATAGTCTAGACTTCTTGACTTTATTACTATACAGTAATAATCAGAAACTATCACATTATTTATATTTCCTAAATGCAAGGAAAATTTGAATTAATACGAGGTAATAGCATTGCAAAAATCGAAGAATTGCCAAAAGGGAAGAGTTTTCAAACACATACCTACTCAGTCGTAAATTCAATGACATTACTGGTTGGTTGTTGTAAAAGAAAATATTTTATTTTACAGATCTGTTCCATCTCTGTCTGCGTGCATAATAATAATCATATATTATCCGCTATAGTCGTGTTCACCAATGCATGATAGCAGATGATTATCGACCACCATTGCCGATTTTCGATATTACGCAAGCAATAAAGCACCAAAATTTGTCGGTCCGTATTGATTTCTCTTATTATGTTCGTAAATCACGTCAACGGGACAAAACCTTCTGTGGTGTAGATGAACGTCAGTGGTTGCGATAGTGGCGGTGGTGGTGGCAACGACGACGACGATGACGACGACGGCGACAAAATGGGTGACGGGGATCCTTTTAAAGCCACCAGAACCTACTTGAAAATTAATCAAAAGCTCGAATGGCTTTGAGTAAATGATGTAGACAAAACGGCTAATGACCAAACCGTTTTCTGGATAAAGTTAAACGTTCGGTATGCAGGTCATTTTTCATTCAAGATTCTTTTAGCCTACTAACGCCAAAACGACTATATTCCACCACGAGTAGTGAAATATATTTTTTCAAAATAACACTTAGTTAAATACCAACTAAAATTCCCTTTTCAACGACCATGATGATGGAAATGTTTTTATTCAAAGTATTAAAATCATTTTTTTTTTTTTTTTGGTATTACCTAATCCTGATTTGTATAAATAATGCATAAGTCCATAAGTGTATTGTATACTGGGTACAATATTTTATATTCTACATTATCCAGAAGGCATTRTGAAAAAGGAATGACTCTTATTAGATACCGCAATATTATGTTTTATTTCCAACATTTGATTAAATAATTTAAGATAGTTTTTAGTTTAGTGTATACTGATTAAAAATTTGTTTTATTATTTAAA